ACCACCGTTTGCTCCAATCAGAGGGCCCCATCATGATTCAATCGCGAACCAGAACTCGCCATTTGCTTCCACTACTCGACCCGTCTTTCGTCTCTCACGCAAGCAAGTGTTCGCGACTTCAATCCGCACATCACTAACTCCTGCTTGGTGTTTGGGATTCGCACAATCGAAACCTGCCACATGCTTCCCTCTTCTCTTGTCTGATCGCTTCCAATACTTGCGAACAACACGTGAACCACCATCTGCTCCTCACGTAGATCGACCTTCCATGTACAACAACTCCTCTAGCTTATGCCACGAACCAGACTGTGCTGTGCAACTTTGTCCGCCTGGTTTGCGTGAAGTCTTTTGTATGATCTGCCTGTGCCTTTGCCTTTGTTCAAGTAGGTTTGTTATGCTTCCGTCTGGATACAACCCCAATGCACAGCAGCTCTCTATGTGTATTTATTTTACTCTTGTGAACCATTCATGAGTATTCCATCAATATATCTTGCGATCTTTAACTGCTTATCACTCAAGAGGGAACAAAAAAAACCGCCATTTCCCCTTGCATACATGCCCACTCTAATTCATAATATTGGTTTTAGCAGTTAAACTAATTCGTCATATAATTAAAATAATTATTACTATTATTATTATTTTGGCAATAAATAGATAGATTGCCGACAAATTCAAGACCATGCGTCGTCGATCTTAGATCCGGGCCATCCGGCTGAGATAATTTCAAATCCAAGATCTCGCGCCGTCGATCTTAGATCCGGCCGAGATGATTTCAAATCAAAGACCTAGCGTCGTCAATCTTAGAAGTGACCGGAAAGAAATCAATGGCGTGTCATCCCGACCTCCTCTTGTGGGAGGGGATGTCGTAAGTCTTACAGCTGCTTCCAAAGGGAAGGAGTAAGTCCTATAAACCTATGGGCTACTTTCAGAGGGGAGCAATAAGTCCTACAAACCTATAAGCTACTTCCAAAGGGAAGCAGTAAGACCCGTTTTAAAACAAAACATTCAGACAACTTCTAAGGAAAGTTGTAAAACCTATCCAAACAAAACTTATGGATAGCTTAGCATATAGGGCTAGGTTGTAAGACTCACTAACAAGCAACTTCTAAGTAAAGTCATAAGACCAACATGTTAGAGAAATTGCTAAATAAAGTATAACAATCTTAAAATCCAAACAATCAAGACCAACATAAAACTTCTAAGTGAATTTGTAAAATCCACATGCTAGAAAAAATGATAAATAAAGTGCAACGACCCTAAAACCCAAACAATCAAGACCGACAAGCCGCTTAGCTTATAAGGCTAGGTTGTAAGACCCACCATTAGGCTACTTCTAAATCTAGAAGCCATAACCAAAATAGTCAGACATCTTCTAAGGGAAGTTAAAAGACCTACTATTTGGAAAATTTATGTAAAAAATGGTGAACTAAACCAATCGACATGCTACTTTTAATGAAAGTCGTAAGACCAACTTTTAAAATAATCGAACTACTTCTAATGGAAGCTATAAGCCCCGTACCAGTTCAATTAATCAATTAACTTTTAAATGAAGTCATAACTCCCAAATTAAATCAACTACTGGGTATTCTAATAGATGTAAACTCCAAACCAGGATAAAAAAATTACAATCTGACTTTAACCACTTCAGTGGGATTCCTGAGAGGAGACAACTAGTAGCTGCAAATCACATTCCTTAGACACTATGATCAAAGATCGCTAGTGTTGGTAGACTAAAACTTACAGTATACCCAGGACGATGGAACCATGGGATCTTGATCGGGTTTATCTCTATTTTCCCCTACAACTGAGACTAAAAATATCTAAAATTATTTATTCTTAATCGAGAGTTCTCTCTTACACGTTAAGAGGGGTAATTAATTATGAGTGCTTACGCTCATGGGAAGTAAGGATCCAGATCCAACTAAACTTTGACACTACCCTCAGGGGAAATCTGGTTAACTATATTTGACTTGAGAATGAAATCGTATGTCTGCAAAACGGGATTCATGCAAATGCGCCGTTTTTCTTGAGCCAACAGCTATGTTCTGCACCGACTATAGCCATTGCTGCCTATTGTTGCCGGTGGTCATCATCACTCGTTTGCCACCATTGATCATCGCGGCTATGCACTTCACTAATCACGATCATTATTCACCACAATCAGTGGTTGCAACCACCACCACTGCACTGCCACCTTATATTTAGTAAGAAAAAACAGCAAATACTTGAGACATATCTTACATTACTAAGACAAATCTGGAGTAGCTACACCCAACTTCATAGTTACAAAACATCTTTCAATGACTAGCAGAGATGCCTTTTTCTCACTTGCACTACCTTCACCATTGGGAGCTCCACATTGAACTACTCTAGCTTCTGGCACATGGACTCCAACAAGTGGTGAAGGGCGTCATCTTACATTCCTACTTTGCAAGATCATTGGCTTTAGCATCCAGGATTCCATGCTTCTCATTGTGAAACTCCGCCCACTCTGATTTGATCTCCTTCGTGTGTTTTAGGATGTGTCCTTGACCTTGTCTCGAAGATCCTCCATGAAAATGTCCACCTTCATTATGTTTTTCTGCGGCATTAATAACATATCTCCTGAGTGTCATGAGACCTTATTATTCTTACCTTTTTGATGGTCTTCATGGAACCCCATCCACAATGAACTTGTCGTTGTGCCATTAACTTCGCTCAAATATCACTTGTCATGGGCTTGCAAATCTAGCACTCCCTCACTCATATGGGCATATGATTTACTGATCCTACATCAGCCTTCATTCATACTTGTCTAAGAACTCAAAAGAGAGAGAAGTTATATCTAGGCATTCTTGTTAGCTCCTAGACTTGTGAGATGATATAAATGAGAGAATTTTTTCCCTTTACACGGGCTCCAAAGGCCTCAATATCCAACTAAGCTAATAAATACATGAATTAGAGTTATCTACAGTCGTCATTGGAATTAGATTAAACTACAAGACTCCAAAAGCTTCTAGGAATAAGAACCTTCTTTGAGGTTCCAGAGACTAGTTAGTGCACGTAGGATACATGCTCATCAAGATACCGACCCACATGATTGTTGAGAAGAGGGAGACGTGTCATGGCCAAAGGCACACTGTTGAATGAATGATAGGCATTCCCTTAGTTGCCAATGCGTTCCAACCGCGACAATAGAATCCTTTGTGTCTTTGTTTAGGGCTCCAAAGAGGATCCACTCTATGTGCAGGATGAGGAGAGATTGGGGGGTCAGAAAATTTATCAACATTCATATAGGGTTATTAGTAGATGTTGACATAGTAATAAAATCAGATGTTAAGGGTTTTTGGAAAAATGTGGAGACGGGTAGTATTTGTATGTTGGCTCTTATTGATGTTTCTTTCTCATTTTTCCTTATCAAATTATTAACGTTCATTATGAGAACATGAACCGACTCAGTTAGACTAGCGGCTTCATGAAGACCTGTGTCACTAATAATAATGTAAGGATTTTTTGATTCCATCGTCGTGATACATATATTTTTTTATGCATTTTCTTTACGTGTCTAATTCCTCTTTTGGTTTACAATTAATTGACATCATGAATGAGATTTAGGCTTCATTTGGGATGACTTTTTTGTTACTTCTTAAAACAGCTTTTTAGCATAAAAATTTTAATTTTCATACTAAAAAGCATTTTCAAGAAGCAACAAAAATGTCGTTCCAAACGAAGCCTTAGCCCTATATGATGAAATTGATGAATGCAAATATCCATGCAGTCCATTGCATAAATCTAGCATACAATGTCATAATGCTATTATGCCAATATAGCTTGCAAATGCTTCAAAAAATTTTGAAATATGCAACTTCAATTCACAGGAATTTGCAAGCTTTCAGTGCAATTAACTTCATAAAATACTAATTAATTAAAAAAAAACTTCATAAAATACCAAAAACTTTCCATAAAACTTCTACATTGGATAATTGGCAATTGTGAATTTTTTGGGAGTTAATGTTTGTTTTAGAATTTGGTTTTGACGATATGCAGGTTAAATGGTAGGTACCAATAATATAGGTTTTCGAGAAATATTTCTATGCTAACTTAAACAAACTGAACTTGAATTAATAAAGGCTTGAACTCAAGAGAGATCAATCCTTTACGACAAAACACTACCAAAACTCCTCGAATTTAGCCACAATCTCCTTTCTCTCCAAATAGAGCCAGCCAATCTTGGAGAAATTATTCTGTGTGGACCCCGGACGGTCCAAAGATCAACCAGAACACGTTACTTCACCCGGTACACAGAGATACCGAGCACCGGTATCGAGCAAAAAGTGACGTGGCATCTGGTTGGACTCCGGACGCCATCCGTGGTCTGCATAGAATAAATTTTTCCAATCTTGACATATGGATTTGATCAAACAACTAGTTTTTGAGCCTTAAAGTATTTTGGATAGGGTTTGGAATAAACTTTAGATTTTATAGTTTAGAGATAGAGGGAGGGAGAAATGATTTCCATAGGATATTTTCTTGGGAATTGTGTACACACAAGCAAGAGAAAGGAATGAATATCTTAGGGAGGATACAGGATTAAAGGGGAAGAATTCAATTAATTTGAAAGATAATGAAAACATATATAATAATTTATGTGCCTTAAAAATTACATATAACCAAGATAAGCCCCATACTCCCATCTTATTCTTAAACAAAAGATTATATCAGAGAAAAGATTGTTCAAAATTTAAATCAAACTAACATAAATTCCACATCTAATTCTTAAGCAAAAGATTACCCTAAAAAAAATTATAATTCCTATAAAAATAATAAATAAAGATACTCTTAAAATTAAAATTAAAATTAGGTACAAATCATTGCTTAGTTTGATCTGAGCTCACTATGTATTGAAATTTTGTCTTGAATTTGTGCTTGAATGCGAGCCATTTATTGTATCAACCATATAGCTTACCAATCTATACTTTCTCCTCTCAACTCATGTAAATAAATCTCTGAAACACCTCCAGATTAGCATTCCCGGAGGAGAACGATAGCTTGAAGAAAATTACCAAACTTAAAGATCCAGCAGATTATTCACGGCTAGGACTGGTGGTAAGCCATTATGAATCAGCTCATTCATACTTCTCTTCTGCAGAATTTACTGCTACTATTCCAACCCTGTTGCTTATGAAAACTACAGCCCAGAAGAGCTGATTTAGACATGAATCAACATGTAAACAATGTTACCTATATCGGCTGGGTCCTTGAGGTAAACCAACATTCTAATCCTAATTTACGCTTCGTTTGGGACGGCTTTCTTTCTGCTTCTTGAAGCAGATTTCTAGCACAAAGTTAAAAAATTTTGTACTAAAAAACTGTTTTAAAAAGCAGAAAGAAAACCGTCCCAAACAAAGCCTTAGTCATGCCCAGTTTTCTCTTACAGTTAGTAAAATTCTTCCAATCTTTACTTATATACTACAGAGCATGCCGCAAGAAATCATCGACACCCACGAACTCGAAACCATTACCTTGGATTATCGACGAGAATGCCAGCACGATGACATGGTTGATTCACTTACCAGCTCAGAACCAGAAGAAATCTTACTTGCAGAGAGAACCAATGGATATCCCTCCAAGCAGCATGGACATGGAAGTGATCATCTTCAGTTCCTGCACTTCTTGAGACTTTCAGGAACCGGCCTGGAAATAAACAGAGGGAGAACCATTTGGAGGAAACTGATCCGGTAACTGCAGAATCTTTTCAAGTTTTATTACACTTTTCTCATTCTATTTGTAGCTTATCTTGGCTTCATCCTCTTTAAAATTTCTTCCAAGAACACTGGAATTTTTTTTTTTTTGATGTTTTGGAATTCTGCTTGCTTGCTTCTATTTCCATGAATATTTGATTTGTTGACCAATTATGTTATATAAATTTGGAAGTTGAAAAATAAATAATGTTTCATTGGATCATATCTTGTCTGGTATTGAAGCGGTATTTTATAGTTTAATAAGATTTTGTTTGAGATCATTTTTTTACTATTTTCTAAAATAATTCTGTAAAAAAATTTACTAGAAAATTGCTTTAGAAAGTATTAAGTAAGTCATTCCAAATGAAGCCTAAGGTTTCGTTTGGGATGGCTTTTTTGATGCTTCTTAAAACAGCTTTCTAATACAAATTTTTAATTTTTGTACTATAAAATTGCTTTACGATGCTTCATTTTTCTTAAGCTCCCACCTAATCTCAAGGAACTCTATTTTCACGATTTTGGTTTAAGACTTGGCTCTTTCTTCCTTTATGATATCTTGCTTCTAGAGCTCTTTTCTTAGAGATACTGCTTAAGGAGGTTTCCCTTCCTTTTGCAACCTAGTCAACTAAGGTTTTATTTGGGACAACTTTCTTACTGCTTTCTAAATCAGCTTTTTAGTATAAAAGAGTTTAGTTAAAAAAAAATTGTACTAAAAAACTGATTTAGAAAGCAGTAAGAAGCTGCCTCAAACTAAGCCTTAGTTTGATATCATGTTGTTGAGGCCAGAAAGGTTCATGTCATAGTGGTGCTTAAATGGTCAACCATACTACCATTCATCGGTGATTTCTCCATGGGCGGAGCCAAATTTTTTTTTTAATGGGGGCACAAATTAGTACTCGTCATTAAATTATTCTAAAAATATCAATTTTCTTTTATGTAATCTTAAATCATGAAATATATTTTTAATAAAAAATACAACCAAAATTATATTTGATCATGTTAAAAGAATAGACATATCACTCTCTATCTTATTAATTATTCATTTAGAAACTAATATTTTTTCCATTGTTAATGAATTAAGTTCAAATAAATTAATTTTATATTAAAGATTATTTTATTTGAATTAATTGAAATAATTCTTAATTTTAAATTATATTTAGATTCATTATATTTAAATTATAAGATAATATTCAACCTAATTCTACATTAATTTGACAGAATGATTCACATTTTGTTAAAGAAAAAGCTAAAATAATAAAAAATTATAAAGTTAACCATAATAAATTAATTTATTTATTCTCTAAGATTAATTAAAAATTTTTATTAGTTAATTAACTTATTGCAAAATAATTCAACAAAAAAAGATAGAAAGTAAGGGAGAGAAAGAGAGAGAGGGAAATAAAGAAGAGAGAGTGAGACAACACAGAACAATACCGCAACACCGACGTCCTGTGGGGAAAAAAAAATTGAAACGAAGGCTAAGGCGGAAGGATTAGTTAAATTAAATTTAATCTTTATATATTAATTATTATATTAATATAATATAAAATGGGCTGATTAAAATTGTTGGGCCAGGCCAGTGGGGGGCCATGCCCCCAGGCCCCCACTGCAGATCCGCCCATGGATTTCTCCATCATTGACTCCCCTCCTAAGTATAATCAACATTGGCATGATAAAGTGGTTAAAGAGAAAGCATAGTCTCCTTTTTCGGATACAAATTTTATTTTTCAAGCCTTTTGAGTTGCACTTTGAAATTTGATTGGATCTCTTGTTCAGTGAAGAAGTCAACGATGCATTGAAGAAGTCAACGATGCATTGTTGACCTTGCACTTCTTACCTTCTTCAAGATCGGGTGATTGGAGGGCCTTACCAAATCTTGATTTGTTTCATGCATCCTCTCTACATCATTGAGCTGTTATCTTCTTACAAGGGTTGGAAGACCAATTACTTCTTTGTGTCATTTGATTAGGGATGAAAGTTCCTGATTAGTATTGACTTTGTCAGGACATGTTCCTTTCAAGTTGAGCACTAGTTATGAGGAGTTATAGAGGATGATGGAGAGCTAGGGCAACAACATAAAAGTGGCCTTTAATGTAATGAATCCTATGAAGCCTAAGTCTTCGCCCAAGAAAAATAGGCGCGAACCTCGCTTTCATAAGCTTAAGGTCCTTATTTTTTAAAGCTAGATAGATTGAATTTGAAAATATATATATATATATATATTTGGCTAGGGATTTATGACTTCATTTAGAAGTTTTTCATAGTTTAGGTTTGGGTTGGGTCTTACGGCCCTATTTAGGAGTTTCCTATGTGATTAGATTTGGGGAGGAGCTTACAACTTTCATTTGAAAGTAGCCCTAATGATAGGTTTTACGGTCTCTATTAGAGGTGGCCTAAATATCAGGTCTTACAACTTATCCTTATAGACTAAGATGCCTAATGGTTTGGTTCTGATAAATAGGTCTTTCGAAGTTGCATGACGATGGGTCTTACTAGCCCTATAGGCTAAGTGGCCCGTATAGTGGGGCTTACAACCTAGCCCTACATACTAGGATACCCGTTATAGGGGTCTAGAGTTATATTATTACCTAAATATTTTTCCTTAAAAGTAAGACTTAGGACTTACATTGAAAGTGGTTTGCTGGTAAGTGGGTTTTACAATCTAGCCCTATAGGCTAAGCTGCTCAATATTATGTGTGAATGAGTTTTAGGGTTATTTTTCTAATGTATGAGACTTACTATTTCACTTAGAAGTGACCCATAGAGGAGTCTAGGATTAGGTTGCTATATAAAGATTTCCCCTAAAGTCGGACTTACGGCTTGTATTAGAAGTTGCTGATAAGCAGAACTTACAACACAGTCCTATAGGCTAAGCTACCCAAGGGGTTTGAATGGATATGTCTTAAGGCTTCTAGATTTAGAAGTTGTCTAACAATGGGTCTTACAACCTAACCATGTAAGCTAAGTGACCCGAATAGAGGGGCTTACAACCTAGCCCTATAGACTAGGATGCTTGTTATAGTGGTCTAGTGTTATATTATTGCCTAGATATTTTTCCTTAAAAGGTGGACTTACAGCTTTCATTAAAAGTGGTCAAAGACCTTAGGTTGTTATCTAGAGATTTCCCCTAAAGGTCGGGCTTATAGTTTCTATTAAAAGTTGTCGATGATAATTTTAGGTATTTATTATTTCACTTAATAAATATACTTAGTGAAATAATTATCGATAGGATTTACTACACCTGTTAGAAGTAACATATATGGCTCAGATCAATAAAAATGTAGCTTTACACAATTCCCTGGCTCGACACAAGTTTTAGTGTTTCATAGCAGTTTTTACTTAAGTGGTAGCTTTCTTACCAATTTTAGCACTAGTCTTGAATGCAGTAGTAGTAGATTTATTTGCTAGTTTTTCTTTTTAGCACTAGTTCCGCCTGTAGTAGTAGCTTTGCTTGCTAGTTTTAATTTTTAGCACTAATTTTGTTTAGTCTATACTAGTTTTACTTTGTTTTGCATTAATTTTAATTTTGTACATTGAGCTAATGTCTTCATTTATTTTTCTGCATGTACATTGTACAATGATTTTATATTTTCTTTATGTATTATTTTAGTTGCTTTAATTAATTAATTAACTAAGTTAATTAATTAAAGGTTAAGTTTTAATTAAAATTTAATTGTTCAATTTGTTGATTTAGATTTTACATGCTAAATATATTTTAAAATTATTTAATTATTTAGATTGGTTTCTCAATTAAGTTAACTTGAATGCTTAGAATTTAATGAAATGTTTTTCTAATTAAACATTATTTAATTAAATTTGGGTTTTGATTTTAATTGAATTTTAAATTAATGAAAGTTTGGGTTTGATGTTAGGTTTTAAATTGATTGTTTTAAGAGTTTTTTTTTTTAATAAATTTCAAATTTAGTTCGAAGTTAATATCTTAACTTTAATTAGATTAGGAAAGTTAATTTGAAGTTTAGCTATAATTTCAAAATTAGTTAATGTTTATTTTTAGTATTAGTTAATGTCTAATTTTATTTGATTTAACTATTAGTTAGATATTTTACTCAATATAATTTTAGTTGAAGTTACAATTTAATTAATCACTTAGTTAGATTGAATTAGAAGATTTGAGTTTAATTTAAATTAATTGAAAATTAATATCAATTATTTTCTTTTTAATTTGGTTTTACTGTTGTTTTATTATTAACTTTTAAATTAAATAACCCATTATTTGAGTTAAATTAATTGATTTTAATTTCTAATTAAAAAACTTAATTATTGATTTAGGTTATTTTTAATTTAAATAAATTAAATTTTTAATCATTTATAATTATTAGTTAAATTAATATTATGATCAATCTAATCAATTTTAAATGAAATCCATGTTTTTCAAAATCCACATAAGTCTAAAATTTTTGAGGAAATTTTGGCAGTCTCCGAGCATTCCCTCCCATAAGGGGAGGTAGGGGATGACACTCTCCCTTTAAAACCCACCTAGTCGGATGGGATTCAATGACTGAGTGTTTCGAACGCCTTTGATTTGATGATTGTGATGTTCACTGGCTTTATCTCTTTTTATTTTTCATAATAATTATTATTATTGATAATTAGGAGCAGATCCATCTTAAGCCCACGAGGATTGATTGCTCCCCCTCCCCCCAAAACAAATAAAAAAAATCTTTATTACATGATTATTTATATAATGTGTTCACTTTAATCTATTTTTTAGTCTTTATTACAAGGGTTTTAAGGCAATTGCCCCCCTTAACAGTTTTGAAATACCATGGTCTTTAGGCAACTGCCCCAACATAATTAAACACATTGTCTAGAGATGTTTTTGTTAGGGAACGATGAACCAAATACAAAGAGAATTAGTAAAGAGAATCCAAAAATATTCTTTCAACTAAAATTTGTTCCGGGGGCGAAACCCCTGTAGGGGCACTGCCCTCTTGGATCCCTGACATATATGCGAAGTGTACAACAATCAATGATATGAATAAATAGCGGTCGAGGGGCAGTGCCTCCAGAACAAATTTTAGTGTGGACCCTAGATGGCATCCAGTTACCAATTAGAACATGCCATGTCACTTTTTTCTAATGTACCGGTGCTCGATAATATTGTATATCGAGTGATGAGGTACATTCTGGTTGATCTTCGACCGTCCAATGTCTACATTGAATAATTTTTAGCTCATGTGAGAAGGATTGCATGGTTGGAGGTGT